AAGCTGTTCTATGCAATTACGTAATCATTTGCATAGTCAGAGAGTATGTAAATTGGTCAAGCCTTTATACGATAATAGATGAGATCTGCCTCAAAAATAAAATGACGCACAAGGGTATGGATTAATAAGGCATACCATGAGTTATTTCTTTAATCAATAGATGTAGACAAATGCAAAGTACAGGAGTGAGAAAAACCCAAAACTGGCTAAGTGGAATTATAAAAGTAAATCACCTTAATAAGTAAATTTGCTAGATAAATACTAATGAAATCGGCACAACCAAAGAACATTAATTAAGAAACTGGGTGATCCATTGTTAGAGTCGAGTCTGGAGTAAAAACAAATAGGCCTAAGAGCCTAGCAAAAAGTAATCATAATAATATATGACCATTTGAGAGTTATATATTCAAATCACGCAAGTGTGGTGTATAAGTTAAGAGTAATAAATTCTAGTAGATATAATATATCCTAAGAGAAAAATTAGTGAACAATGAATACTAGTGACATCCAAATAATGATAAGATATTAAAAAAGTTTCAAACAGGAGAGAATGGGCCAAAAAATAAAACGATGTATTAGTTATTAATTGTAAGATAAAACAATTTTGGAAAATAAGTAATTATTTGCTTCGAAGATTTAAAAGCGAAAGGAAAAAAGCAAAACCAATTATCAAGCGCGCGAAGTTAATAAATTAAACCTCCATATAAATTATAGAATATTAACACAACTTCGCCGAAAAATGACTTATGCGGGACAAGTTCAACTCGTTTACAGTTGTGAACGCTTACTTACTGCTTAATACAACTTTAATTTGGTACATGGAAATAAGCTTAAATCGTCCGAGATAAAACAGATGAAATGCTCACTTAAGTATCTCGAATATATGAGATCATAGTGCATAAATTTTAGTCAGCATGCCCTAATAAAAAGGATAAGGAATATATAAGTTGTTTGACCTTGTTTTCTCAACTTGGTCACAATGGTTGGAAGATTTATAGAAACGCGCCTTATCCTGAGTCCATTGTATGCATAATTATTTCCAAAGTCGGACCGTGGAG